ACATGTAACTAATTAAGTTTATCCATGTACTAGGTGGGAACTAGTTCTTCCTACAAGCAACTTCTCATAGTTACCATATTGATCACTTTCAATGTGCCAACATACCACTGGATAATAAATAATCTATGGAAAGAATACCATTCTTCCAGTTCTACAGCTAAGAAAACTCAAATAGGGGAAGCATTTGTCCAAAGACCTACTTAAGCTGAATTCCAAACATGTTCCTTTATCCTCCATATTATCTACAGTCTTCATCATTTAGGTGATGACTAATCTGAGGGTCTCTCGGATGTTGTCTCAGTAACTTGTGGCCCATGACCTTCATCTCCAAAGCTGCCAATCTGAACTGCAAATAACTTTTTTTTTCCTACTTCAGCAATAGCCTGCCCTTCTCTCTGGTCTAATTTTAATGGTATACACTTAAGTCCTTTCTAGAAGTCTGTCTTCCCATGAAGATGGTAGGAAATGCCTTCAACTTATTCAGTTCCTCCAAATTGACTTATATCTATATCCGTATATTTACATAAATGTATAAGTCTATGAATATCTCTATCTATCTATCTATCTATCTATCTATCTATCTATCTATCTATCTATCTGTTTATATAGATCATAACAAGTTGTTTAGCCTAAAACCTGGCATCCTCTGGTGCATTTATTTTCTTTCTTTTTTCCTTTTTTTTTCTGATGCACTCTCATACAATAGGCTTTAGATGAGACCAAATAATTAAAGTAATAATATTTATTACTAATAACATAAACAAAGATCATAGGCTGATGATAGTGATAGAAGTTAACATCAACTACATACTAACTCTATTTCATAACTTTTGCCTGCCTAACTCATTTAATCCTTACAGCCATTATGGAAAAATACTTCTATTAACTCTATTTTGAGGATGTGGAAATTGAGTTACAGAAACATTTGATAGTTAATTGCTCATCAAAGATAGGGTGTTCTAATCCTATTTCCGAGGAAAATGGAGTATTGAGTGCCTATTCTTACAAATTTCATGTGCAACCTTCCAGAAACTAGCTAATGACACATGGCACAAAAGCATATGGGTTAAATAATAGTCATTAGTGATTTGTTGTCAAGTAAGGCATTTTTCTTAAGTAGTTGGGGTGGAACAGTTCCTTTTTGGCATTAGTTTTTAGAGGACACAAAGATTATTGCAGACTATATATTTGTAACATCAAAGTAAATTAAAATTATAACACTTTTCTTTAGTCTAATAGGTGACTGGAATTTCCTGTATCAGAGCTCTAGAAAATTAAAGAGAAAAGTAACCTTTCATTTGCATCTACTTTGTGCCATGAAATTTCTTAGATATTCTTCACATTTTTATTAAAAAAAAGCTCATTCCATCCTCACAACAATTCTGCAAAGTAGTTGCTGTTTAACTCTGGTTTTAAGTAAGAAGGTACTGAGGTACTAAGAAAGAACAGTTTTCTGAGATTATATACTAGTAACCATGTTCCAATTGTACTCGGTGAGAGGCTAACTCATAATACATAAGGTGCAGTCGTGACAGCTCCATCTCAAAATGTTTAACTTAACCACACCTGTATCTCATTTCATTTATACCACATTTTCCTGAAAAGGTAAGCACTAACCAAAATCGCATTCCTATCTTTCCACCCCTGCTTGTGTTCTCATTTTTAAAATGCTTTATCTTCATTTACTCCTGTTTCCTAAGTTTCTTATTTTGCTCATCTGCCCTTCAGCCTTCAAAACAAGCTTCTGATGATCCATGAAGTCAACAACATAAATGTAGCTAAGGGGTCCTTCATTTTAGGTTACCAGTGCTAAATTTAAGAATCATTTTGACTCAGTACTGATAATTTAATTGCTATTCAAATATGGATTGAATGCATTTTGCATTTTTAAATCATGATATCATTGTTGCATCATTTAACTGCACTCTGGCAAGTGGAATTAGAACACAATTATATATATGGTGGCAAAAAAGGAAGATAAAAATTTCATCATGACCTAAAAGGCTAAAAGGAAAATTCCATTATTTTGTTTAAGGGCCATTTACTGGAAAATTTAGCCTTCTTTGATCGTGTCTGTTTACCCTAAAGGATTTTTAACCTTTGGGAAAAGTTGGGAAGCAGTTCTATAACTCTTTTTTAATGAGTCGCAAGCAATCTGCTGTCTCATTAGATAAAGGAATTTTGGTTCATATTCTACAGAAGGCATGGGAATTTCTCTAAATTATCTGATGGCTAGAAAGCTGTTTCTTGCATCTCAAATTGCCCTGTATACAGAGTGCAAGCTCCCCAAACTACTAACAACTATGTATTACAGTTACCTATATTTTTCTGATTAAATGTGTTAGTGAGATGTAATGTGGCTGTTGCACAAATTGCCACAACTATTCTCTTTCAGTTCTGGAGACTAGAAGGGCAAAGTCGGTTTCGCTGAACTAAACTCAAGGTGTCCATAGTGCTGAATCCTGCTGGAGTCTCTAGAGGATAATCTGTTTGCTTCCAGGCTTCAGAGGTTGCTCACATTCCTTCACGTATGGTAGCGCCACTTCAATCTGCTTCTATTGTCATGCTGCCTTCTCTCTCCCTCATCTACTGCCTCCTTCTTATAAGGATTCCTATGAGTTCCTCAGGCTTACCCAGAAATCTGCCTCATGATCCTTAAGTGAATCATACCTGCAAAGTCCCTTTGGCCATGTAAGGAAACATTCACGGGTTCTGGGGATTCGGAAGTGGGTATCTCGGGAAGTTATGGGGGATTCTATTCAGCTTTTCATACATAGGAAATATTATTTAAAAAATTAATGGAAGGAAAGATTATTTTAGTAATTAAGTGAAAACAGAGTAATGCATATGCTTTTCCAAAGCCTTCAGAGGACCCTGCCAGCCAGATGGCAGTGGTCCTTACTTTCTGCTAAAACCTACTGCTGTTGTGAATTTGATATTTGCTCTGATACTGATATTGTTTGCTGCCTCTCTTACCTACAGGGAGACTAAAGTAGAAGACAATTCTGTAGAGGTGTCGTTTACAGAAAATGGTGGGTTTACAGAAAACGGTGGGTGATGGTTGGCTGCCTGTGGGTGTGATGTGTAGATAAGAAGGAAATATAAAAGCAAGTAAGAGGAATTAAACCAAATTCCATCTTTGCAAATCTCAGTGTCTGATTGTTTAGAATATTATTGTTCCAATAAATTGAAATATGTTGTAAAGTTTTGTGCTACAAATATTGGTTATACTATATGATAGCTTACATCATTTATGTTGTTGGATGTAGACCAGGGTGAATGACATTAGTTTAAAATACTCTGCCATTTATGCTAAGTTGGAAGAGGAGTATGTGAGCTTTACAGCTGACCGATTTATTATTTCTGTTTAATTTTTTCCCTCAAATCTGCTACAAGGATTTCAAAATAAAATAAATAACCATGGTATGATAGAGAGATGTAGAAATAAAGCTCCATCAACCTCTGAATTTGTCCATATATCACTATGATTCAGTCACTTAGTGGAAAGTTGGCCAACAACCACTTCATGAATTTTATTTCCTATTTGGCCTGCCTCAGGACTGAAAATTTCTGCACAAAAATCCCAGGACACTCTATAGTCAAACAATTTGCTGAAAATACTGTTTCCTGATCCTGACCTTTTTCACCTGAGAGACACTTCACAAAACAGCAAAAAGTTTAATACGGAGTTGCTTACAGAATAAATTCATCACCTTACAGTATAAATACTGACAGCAGTACTGAGAAAACTCCGGTTTTAAAAAATGTTTGGAGAATATGTGTAGGTTTAAATTGGTGTGCATTTAAAATACCTACCTGAGAAGTAAGGAACAGGGATGGAAATCTAATTGTTTTCTGTGAAGACAGTATCTTTTAAAAACTATCCTTACAGCTTGTCCTACCTGAAGAACTTGGTACTGTCCTCTGCCTGAACTCATGGCTGTTAACAAATGCATTGCTGTTTTCAATTCAATGGAGACTGTAAGTGGGAATCATAGTTTACATTTTCAAGAACAAAGCATCAATCCTTTAGTTTAAATTAAAATCTTTAAAAATATTTCCTTCAGTGTTATGCAATATAAGAATGAAATAATGTCCATGTGCAAATAAAAGCGAATCAGGAATAAGTAAAACATATTTTGGGATAAATGTAAAAAGAATGTTATACATCTGACAGCAACTGGGTTTTGTGGCATGGACAACTGAATATGTAATGCATAATCTTGGTTAATTAGGAAGGTATAAACTTGAGAAACTAGCCTTCTCTGATATTATATATTACAGAAACTCTTTAAGAAACGGGTCTCATAGAAGTCTTGGTTTCTTAGCAACCACTGATTCCCAGGGATGAGTTCATTTTTGGCCTTGTGTAGGTCACCAAGTCTCCCTGGGATTGTTGTGGGTATTACAGATGGAATTTTCCAAACACATGAGAAGTCGAGATGAGAAGTTGTTGCCAGCACATTGCCTGGCATGGTTAAGAGTATAGCACAATTCTTCTGAGAAAACCATTTTTTCTCTTAGTAGTTCAAAATATTCAGTTTATTTCAAACTACAGGATCAAGTTCTGCCGTATTTTGCAGTCAAAGAGTGGAAAAGTACAGGTTCCTTTTTTTACTTGAATTCTCATTAACCTTTTAATAACCGTGCTGCAGAAGCCCATGGACATTTGAACTGCTGGTAACCACTGATTGACAGCTGAGAGTTTGCCTATTAACACTAAAATCACTATTCACCCGATCTGTGGTCAGCAGCTGAAGAGTGATGGGTGATGGTCATAGTGGCTATTATAGATACTTTGAAGAATCAAAATAAACGTATTTGTATACGAGTGTGAAAATGTCAGCAGCTGTAGCTGAACAACACACTAATAAGATGATGCTGTGTTAATGGCCCAGGTAGCAAGAAGAAAGAGAGTCTGGAGAGGCTGCAGACGCTCACTGGGGAAGATATAAGGTCCTTGGGCCACAGCCTCCATTCCTTCAGAGAAAGCAGCAAGCATGTACTCAGGCTCCATGTCTCTCCTGGGCTACCTTGGGGATTGCGGTGGTACATGCTACAGAACTCATTGTTACATCCCAGTGAGTCCTTCTGTTGCTCTTTGCTCTAGTGGTATAAGCCCAAACTTTGATCTCTGTTTACCCAGTAGCTACCAAGGAAACCTCTGGCTCCTGGATAATTGCCAAGAAATCTATGGTGAAGCCCCAAGCTGTGAATCTTCCAGCTCTGAGCTCAAGACCAGCTGCACAAGTTATGACCCATCAAACTCCTGTGTGCCCTGCAGCAGTCCAACAGTACGCAAAGTATGCAGTGCTTGTGCATCTACCAACGTTGGACCCAGTGCCCGCTGCAGCCCTTACAACCAGACCAAGGGGTATGTATGCAACTGCTACACCCACAGCCGGTGTACATCTAAAGCCTGCCAGACTCTCAGCAATGGTTTCAAAGGCTTTCGGCAACTCAACTGCTTATCCAAGAATTTCCAACCCCTAAACCACTGCAGACTGGGTAGGCAGGGGTACAGAAGCAACCAAAATCTTGGCTTCATACCCAGTAGCTTCTCACCATCATGTTATATGACCAGAAGCTGCCAATCCCAAAACTATTCAATGAGAAATTGCCAATATCCAAGCTATGGGTCCATGGGCTGCCAACCACTGAGCTATTTTTCTGGAAACTTCCGGTCTCTGAGCTGTATTCCAAGTACCTTCCCTCCTTTGAGGTATTTATGCAGTGGATGCAGAACTCTGAATTGCTAGTGATGAACTTACTGTATTTGTTGCTGCTGGAAATTTTCCAATGGGGAAGATTCTACCAAGTAATCACTTTCTCTAATATTCTGCTGAATATTCTTAAGAATCTTGTTACATTGACCTCAAATATAACTCCAAGACTTATTTACTACCACCGTATTACCTGCTAGCTTTTTTTTCTGTTGCTCTGTTAATGCCCTTTGTGTTGAAGGCTGATCTTGAAGGTAGTCTTACTGTTTCTGAGATCGACTATGACGGACACATTGAAGAGATTCCATATGAAATACAACCATTGCCAGATTTATTTTGGCTGTCACTGTAACTTGTCTGCCAGTGTGAATATCCCCTACCTTTCTTGATGAAGTAGAGTCTCCTTGGTTTGACTGATGACTTAAGATGATGATTCTTCCACATCATTTGCTTTCTATCAAAATTTTGTTGACTGCTTAATTAGCATCTTGCTAACAAGCTAAGAGACGATATTATCTTAAATAGGAGCGATTTCATCCTTCGTCTACTGACTGATTAGAAGTATACACAAGCAGCAAGGTCCAACTAGAGTTCAATTTCAGAAGAACTTCAGCAAATCTTCTCTTCCAAAGATCATAAAACAAGACTGGCTGGCACTTGGATTTTGTTCTAAATGTCTAGGATTGACCTATAGAAGCAGCAGAACAAAAAATTATTTGTTGAAAGAATGACAAAATACTCTTCTAGACTCTTCATTATTACTGATAATCCATGTTCGTGATTCTGCTATAATTCTCTCCTGTTGAATTATTTCTTTCTGATTCTAGGACAGATCCTGGCTCATTGTTAATAAACGAGTTTCTATTGGGAAATAATGATTTTCATTGCTCTTTATTTCATATCACTAAAGTTTTATCAGTATTCTGGGCAATATACATAGAATTATCAAGCATTCGTTTCCCACCATTTAGTTTATAGCTCAATTAAAAATATAATGAATATAGAATATGAATTCCTAGGAATTATTTGTTTTATTCTACTTTTAACACATTAAGTGATATTAATTCTAAGACTTATTCTAAGAATTTTATTATTCTGTCTGTTGTTGATATTTAGATAAGGAAATCTGGGGAAAGTATTTATAAAATAAATCAATTGAATAAAACCTATATAAAGTATCAAATGTACATATATTTTCCTGTATAATAGGTGTATTTATTGGTTTTGCATATAAAGTTTGGGATTTGGAATAGATTTAATATTGAACCCAGTGAGAAGTGACTTAACCTTAAAAAGTTCTCCAAAAAATGAAATTGATAAAAAATGAAATTTATACTAAGAATTTTTGTAAATAAAAAGCAAATCATGTTTCAAGACAAATAAAAGGGCCCCTGGTGATGGGTATAAATGGAGTTTGGAGGGATGGGGAAAGATCATCAATATCAATAGCTAATGACTAATACAGAGCTATTGTAGATGTGAATATTTAAATTGCCAACACTTTATGACCAGGTAATAATGTCTTAATGTTCTCCTGTAGAAACATTCTTTCAAGTTTTACAGTATTCATTTCAGCACTGCCTGGTTAGTGAAAAATTGGAAACAATGGAAAAATCTATAAATGGGAGACTATGAAATAAAATGTTATGAAGCCATACTAATAAATACTTAAAAGAATTAAAAAGAATGGCATAGAGTCATATGAGTTGTATAATAAAAGACATACTACAAACTAAAAAGATGAGACTATAAAAATATACATGGTGTGACATGTTATGCATAAACATTATAAAATATTATACATAAAGTGTGACATTTTATGCATAACCACACAAATATCTGCAAACATTCCTCTATGTTATCTATCTATCTGTGTATGAATAGAATAAAGAAACTGTAGGAAAACACAACCTAAATTGCATTAGAATTAGAAGAGCTTTAGGAATGGTAGCTGGTAATTCTCAAAGGGATTTTTAGACTTAATTTTAGACTAGAATTTATTTAATGCACATTCTACTTAATGGAGCATTAAAGTCTCTCTTTTAATTCATATTCTTAAAAGTTTATGCTTAGGTGACTAACAATATACTTTGTAATAAGTTTTAAAGAGTTGATAAAGCCACTACAATTGAAATGCTATCAAAGACCTGAATGTAACTGCATAATTTTCATGTTTGTTTCTGCTATCTTCAAAGAGTATTATTAGACAGTATCTTTTTGAATGCTGCTTTCATGTACTATATTTTCTGATGGACAAGAAATAAATCTGTATAATTTTTAAGGCTCATGTACACATTAATAGATTTTTAAATTTTTGTTCCACTGAGTTTCTTAATTATGTCTTTTTCTGGAGTTCTGCATGAAATGCCTATCAAAGTACTCAATATATAGTTAGTGTACTACACACGATTTGCTTAAGAAAAAAGTAACTCATCCGCCAGGAGGCCCTTGATGAATAGCATTCTTACCTGACAGTTCAATTAACCATACTGTCACTCCCAATATCACAGAGAATATTTCAAAACCATGTAACTCTATATTTATTCATAACCACCAACACTGTACTGTCCATGCAAAAATTTCCACCTACACCAGTGCCTGATGAAATCATAGTTCTTGGATTCACTTCTAAAGTGAATCATAAGTGAGTAAATCCTTGATTACATGTGTGTAGATGTTATCTCAGAGCTCATAAGATGATTTCTTCAACTAGTCACTATGTTCACTGTACTTGTTCTTTTTGTCTGTTATTTTAATGTGATTGGTAGTTAGGACCCAGTAAATCCTTTGAGCTGTTTATCTATTGTCAGGTCACTGGTAGATTAGAAGCGAATGGAAGCTCAGATCTTGCCATTGATTTCTGTACTTTACCATCTGGAATCCTGAAAATTCCAGATACTTGTTGACAGTTCTCATTCCAGTCTCACATATCTGAAGGAAAATTATTCGTAAATATAAAGTAATTCTCTCAATTAAAAAATATACATGTAAACCCCAAATTTACATTTAGATTTTTATTATCAAAAGAATGATGTTGAAAGTTTATCTAAAGAATAAGAATTTTAATTCCAGAATTATTTCTTTCAAGAATGAATAAAGATTTTTAAGTCCAGAATTTTCTCTTTCAAGAAACAATTACAACAAAGATAGCTATTATTGCCATTACATTACTTTTCATGTGAACCATTTCTTATCTGGAGTGTGGACACTGAGAATGGTGGATTAAAAATTATACTACCCAGGAATCTGCTCTTTCTTATCAACTTGCATCTTTTCTGAGTTATCTCTAAAAAGTGATTGGCTTTGTGAACTCTTATCTCTCGGATTGGGAGAACACATTAGATTCTACTTTGTAATAGTACAGTAACTGGGTGCCATGTGAATCTTGTGTAATTTTGAGGAATATTTTTTGGCTGACAACTCAAAGAAATATGCTTAGGGCTTCTTTGGCCATGTATGTACTGTGTGTGACATAATGATTCACTTATCATGATTGTAGCAAGGTGATTTGCCTAAGAACTTGAGTTTTAATCCTAACTCTGCTGCTTAACAAATTGTACATCTTCAGCTTTCCCTTAACCCTCTGTATCTTATTGAAAGAAAGGCCTTTCTGAGAACTGAGATAGTGAATAAAATTCCCTAGCACTGTGCCTGGTAATATTGCTCAACAAATGGTAATAATTTTCATTATATTAAAAAAAAGAGCAAAGTTTTCTTGGTTTCACTGGATATGGCTGGTAATTGTAGGTCTGCTTTGGTTATGTAGCTGTATTCATATTATGTTAATGTGTGTATGCAATTTAATTAGTAGTTTAAAACCTATACATGCTTATGTTACTCTACAAGAAGATATGTCAAAGAAATAATCAATCTTTCCATGTTTTCTTCTGTCTGCTACTTCTATAGCTTTTCTTCTTCCTTCCTAATTACAACCCTTTAGTAGAATTCGTGCCTCATATCAAAATTACCAAGTATCATAGTTCTTCCAAGTGGTAAAGATACCTCAAGACAAATGCTGGGCATAGAAGCCACAGGGCATAAATCTGCAAAGAAGTAAAAAGCTAACCTTTTCAAAGAATATTGCTTCTCTCTCACTTACCAACTTTACATTTCCCTGTATGGCCCCGGAAGATGACTGGTTAGCCAGAGACGGGTAAGATTCCTCAAGGGAGG